AGATCTGTAACTATACTATTTAAAATGCTTTGTATTTGCTTCTAGCATTGTGACGTTGGGGCTATTTATTTTTCTCCTGTATCTTTCAAAATAGAAGAAAGCTTTTGACATTTGCCAATGTGTGGCCCATGAATGCGGATATGCGCCTAATTTGCATGCCTAGTAATTATATGCATCAATAAGCAATAGGAAAGTGCCGCCTAGCGATGACCTGGTAAGGTCGTAGTGACAATTAACACAAACCATGTGAAGTATTATACCAGAATTTTCTTTTTGCCCTTTCTATGGGGTCTTTTACGAATATATTGGAAAAGTTATATTTAAATGTTATGGTATCGTTCCTTTACCATTTATCTGTTTCTGTTTCATACTCTTCCCTAGACTTGTGTCAACATTAAATATTAGATAGAGGCCTAGCATTTATTTTTGTTAACATTTTTATGATGATCTTAACAAAGTAAGCCAATCCCCCAGTCCTCTTCCCCCACTCCTCCCTCAGACACAAAAATACAGCACGTTTATCTTGTCAGTTCTGCAGATGTTCCCTGAGAACAATCTCACCTGTTATTTGGACGCTTGAAAAGTCCATCTCTATCTTTTCTTTCTTTTCTTTTTAATTCTCTTTTTGAAAACACAAGATTTAAAAAGAGCTACACTCAAGCCTGCATGATCATAGCTATTCTGGAAATGCGTTTTTCTGATTCAGCTTTGAGGGGGAAGCTACCATGCAAAGTATAATCTCATTTGAAATTTGCAGATGTTTTTACATTTACTGCTACAGTTTATATCTCTTTCTGAAAGTGAAAACTACAACAGAGAAAGTAAGGATTAGATATTTGCAGTATTCATCTTAGGGACAAAGCCTTTGAATCTCCACCATGTTGGGAAATTGTGAAGGTGGCCAGAGGGCTAGATCTGTGTGGGGCCTTTTAAAAGGCCGTGTTGATGAAAATAAATGGGATAGATTGTGGCATTAATTTCCCTAAGGGGATTCATGAAATGGTGAGGACTTGTATGATTTTGCTGTGGAGAATGTGGGGCAAGGAAAAGAATATGAATAAAGGGTTATCTAAACAAGAATGGCAGCTGTTCTGAATCACAGCAGAAAATGTAAGCTTTTCTAGCCTGACAATATCTCCCTAATCCTTGATGAAAATGTTATGAAAACAAAAGGGCAATAAGACAGGATTAATAACTGGAATTTTAATAACATTGGGGGTCAGGATCTGGTTACATTCTTTAAAGAATCAGCTGTCAGTCCTGCAGTCAAACTTGTTAAGTATTCTAGTGTACTATTTATTGTGTCTGAAAATGGTTTAATGGATATATTGATAGGGAAGAATTAATTATGTCATGGTTTAAGAATATTTAGTTATTTTAGACTCCTATTAACTCAGAAACTCATTTGACATTTTAAATTGTGTATTTTTATAGTTCGCTGCACAGTTGTGGAAGGCTAACTATGTCAAAAGGCGAAACTTTTAATTTATTAACTAATAGAATATACTTTTTTCAATCCATTGATTTAGGGAACATTAACAGTGTTTTTAAGGGGAAAAATGTAAAACAGCAGATTCTAATTTTAGCGACAACATAACTTCAGAGTCTAAAATTAGTTTAAAAAGTATGAGAATATGTGGTTTTCAGGTAACAGCAACAGCAATTTGTATTTGTTTGAAAATTTTTTACCAATAATTTCTATTAAAATTACATTTAAAATTTATTCTTTTCACCAATTTGATGCCTATTGGAGTTTGGGTTTTAAAATATTCTTCATGATAGAAAAAAGGGTTCATAAGCATATGCAGAATGGTTGACGAGATCAACTTTCAGCATATAAAAGTCCCTCTTTTTTTTTTTTTTTAGGCAAGGAAACCCTTGGTTGACCTCATAGATTGCAAGGACCTTGTCAGTTTACAATCCCTTATTTTTTAATTTTTTTACGCCTACAGCACCTGGTCTTCCTAGGTGGTCTCCCATCCAAATACTAACCAGACCCTGCTTAGCTTCCGAGATCAGACGGGATCAGGCTTGTTCAGGGTGGCATGGCCATAGACTAAAATAGCCTTAATGAAAACATTATTTAGAGTCTACCATTGCAAATTGGGGCATAGTTCTCATCATATGCATTTTCATTTTTCACTTTTAGGACTGTTGTTTTTGAATTGAGGTGTATGTGCTCTGGAAATTATAAGTCTAGTATAGTAAGCATAGTAGTATCTGAATACTAATATATATATGTAATATACAAGCATATATATATATTTAAGAAATATACATAAGCAATATATAATTATATATAATGTTTACTATAGCCATACAAACATACATACATAGTACAATTGACCCTTGAACATCATGGTTTGAACTGTGCGGGTTCACATATACATGGATTTTTTTTTTTTTTCAATAAATACCCGTACTGTTTTTGATCCCTGTCGGGAGTCCACAGATACGGAGGGCTGACTGTATACCATTTTATATAGGGGACTTGAGCATCCGTGGATTTTGGTCTTGGAACCAAACCCCTGTGGATACTGAGGGACAACTTAAATCTGGGAGAGGTAAAAAGTTATATGTGGATTTTCAGCTGCATAGGGGTGAGCTCCCTGAATCCCTATGTTGTTCAACGATCAGCCATATATAGGCATAGTAGTATGTGAAGGGGCACCAAACGCTTCAAGATAAACATGACCTTGATTCTTTCTGGAACATCAAATTTATTCAGAGTTTTATAGGAAAAATAGGGTATATTAAAAATGAAAAGATTTAGTGTAGAATGCAAACAAAATAACTATTAGGACATAACAGTGTTTTACAAAAAAAAAATTGTCCTCGCCTTGGGCTAAAGTCCCAGTCCTTCTGGATACATCTTTTCCCAGCACCTGGGCCAGGGCTATGGTGAGGTAAGCGGGGTATGCAGGTGTCACTCTCAGATGCCAACCCCAAACTTGCTTGACCCTGAAAGCAAGTGCTTCCTTAACTCTGAGCCTGAGGCACCAGCCTTGCCTCATCCTGGAGATCCTGCTTAGCATTTGGTAGAAAGATGAAGGAAGAGTGTTCATTTTCTATGTGTGGTTTTTAAGGATTCTATTTCTATTATCATAATTTATATTACGTTAGTAATTTGAGATGGAAAGTCTTTGTTGGGTAATAAAAGTTCTTTTGTATAGTGGCTTGCAGTTTAGAAAGAGCTTTCACCCTCATGTCGTTGGATTCTCTCATCAGCCTTGTATGATGGATGAGGCAACTAGTGTTGTCTTTACTGAGCATTATAAGACATACAGGCCTAATGCAGGTCACTCATTTCAGATCACTTAACTTGATGACCAAGTATTTTCCTTTGTGTCTTCTTTTTCACCATTTTTGGTTTAGCTATTCTGAAAAAGCTAGTTATCATTTCATGCACAGTAAGTTGCTGCTAAATTTCTGATCTATATCTAAACTAGATCACTATCCTTTTCCCAGTATGGAGGGTAATTCTCATAAGGCCGTAAAGGGTTCACAGAGCTTACTTTTGTTAGAAGCATTAGGAAAGCTATCAAATCTCAGTTGACATTTGGAAGTGGCTCCCTTGCATTCTAGTAGGTTTAGTTAACTGTGGAAGGACATTCTACCTGGCCAGATAGGTAAGGTGACATGGTGCTGACGTACGGGAGTTATTAATTTTCTCAAGGTGCCCAACCCAGAGAAAAATGGTTTTCATTGTATGGGCTGTGCTCAGAACACCTGGTAGTGCTTTTTGAAACTGTTCACAGATATTTAGAAATAAGAGTGATTTCGTGTCATCCCTGCCACTTTCATCGGGAAAACACTTCAAATTGTATCCTGTTACCAATGTTTTGCCATATGCTTCATCATCTCTGCTTGAGTCACTGTGTTGGTGTCACCAGATCAAATGTCATGTAGTCTAAGTCATATTTTTCCTGACTCCCTCGAATACAGTTTATTCTGTCATTTATGCATCCTTAGCTTCTGCTATATACTTGTAGTATGGTTTCTTAAAAGTTTATAGAGAACAGAGATCTCTTCCTATTTGTTATTTTGAGTTTGGTACCCAGCACGTCGCCTTAATGAGAATAGGTTCTAATAAAGAATTGCTGAGCTGATCTTCTCAGATGAGTAAGTATTGCAGAGAAACCACATCCTCATGAAACTACATGCCCTAAGGGTAGTTCTTTCTTTTCTGGGATACAAGATAAAGGGCGTATAACACTAAAACATATTCTTCTAAAAACTTTTATTCAGTTTCAATTTACATAGTCACTCGTTTGCTGCCAGTATTTGTATTAATATATGAAAGTTTTCCTCAAACCTTCAATCACTCCAATGTCTAAGAGATATAAGGCTTATTTTTGACCATCACTTAGAAATAATGATGTATTGTCCAATAGAGTGAGAGAACTGTGAAAGGGATGTAGAGGAGGACAGAACTCATGTGGAGAAAAAATTACTAAATGTAAATAAATGTATTTTTTTATCACTTCCTATACAGCCACAGTTTTTTTAATAAAGAATTATATTTGTGTTATTTAGTTTAAATATTTATGAGGACTATATATATACACACATTCATATACACAGATATGTATGAACTTCCCTAAATTGGATGTCTTCTATTTTTAGTAAATATTTTTATGTTTATCTTTCTTTTTACACCAGCTCTTTGAGTCCAGATGTTGATCCAGCTCTTGCTTTTCAACGAGAAGGATTTGGACGCCAGAGTATGTCAGAAAAACGCACAAAGCAATTTTCAGATGCCAGTCAATTGGATTTCGTTAAAACACGAAAATCAAAAAGCATGGATTTAGGTAGTGAGTACAATCTCCATGAATCTTTATCTAAATAAGGCTTAGATGTAGATGCTTTCAGATTAAAATTGATGGTCCCAAACACATGTCTGTTTACTTTGAACAGTAGAGAAAATAAATGTGAAATGTGGCAATTTGGCAAAAATTAGTTTTTCTCTGAGTTTGAGATAACCATATTTCTCATAAGCGGCATGTTTACATAATGTGCAATATGTTAACATATATGTTTTCTGATGAGAAAAAAACAAACACATGTGCATTTCATGCTATATTCATGTATCTTTATTTGAAACAATGAAATGTTTTAACACTTTGGCTGTTTAAAACCAATTTCATTGAAATAGTATTTGGTTGGTTGTGGCATTCTTGAACTAAAATAAAAAATTTTGGAGAGAAATCATTATCTCAATCCATGTCTGGAATTTGGTTACTTTGTGATATCTTCCTTTCATTGCTACTTTTTAAGGTTTATTTAATAGAAACTCTTAAGTGTTAGTAATTAAGGCATTTCATTGAAGTAATATTTTGAGAAAATATTTATTGTAGAAAGTATTTGAAGCAAATGAGAGCAGGAAAATAACCATAGTTGTTCAATCAAACACCAATCAGGTAGTGTCTCTTTTTAAATCCAAATCCACCAAAACCAAAACAAAACAAAAAAGTAAAATAATTAATCATGTCTACAAACTGATTGAATGATTTAAAAAAACCTTTGTTAATCATCTGTAACTTATTTATGCATTCTCTTGTGGCTGTTTGTACTTCACGACTAAAAGCATTAATTTATCACATGCGTAAAAGAAAAATTTGGCGATGCATTGCCTTGGCTAATTAAGATATGCTAACATATAAATAACACACGTGTCTGTGAAATGAAATGACTGGCATATTGCATGGAGACACTGCTTTCCCCCTTTTTTGATTATGAATGTTTGCTTGATTTTTCATATTATTTGCATGAAATATTACCTAAGAATTATCACATAACTGAAAAGATCTGGGAATGGTTGAAGCATGTTGGGCTGTGGGACTAACTGGGCTAACCATTATACATTTACCTTTTAACAGTAGCTGACGAGACTAAACTCAGTACAGTGGATGACCAGAAAGCAGGTAAGAATGGACTCTTAGACTGTTGCCATAGAAACTGGTCCAAGGAGCTTATCCTAATTATAGAGCTGCCAATCATATTGCATGTACACATAAATATTCCAGTCTTGCACAGATGTTTTCATTGTAAGAAATCAAATTGTACAAGAAAAGAAAAAATGTCTGTTAGAAGAAATTTATCAGTGTAGTACATCTAAATGGAAATATAATTTAGTGCTTCAAAAATGTTTAAACAACCTAGATTTTCTTAATTTTATTTGTATAGGAATATTTTGTCACAATTAAAAAAAAAAGATATCAAAATCCCAAAAACATGATCTCCTGGGTAGAGTCTTGTTTTTAACATATGTATTTGATGTCTATGTTAACATCCAAAAAAATTCTCAAAGTGATAACTTTGACTTGAGGTCATAGCACAAATGTAAATATTTTTTATCAAAGGACAATGTCCAGTAATTGCTATCATTAGTCACTCAGAAAACCTTGGTTCTTTTTCGAATGCAAGAATTAGCTCATAGTTACCAGATATTGAATTAGACTATCTAATGCATATGGCTCTTTAACGTTGTGAACCTGTTTTAAAGGATTTTTTGTTTGTTTGTTTGTTCGTTTGTGAGCTATTTAGGGCTCGCTTCTAAAATGTGACCTAAATCATTCCATAGAAACAAAGGATTACATTGAACTGGGTTTTTCATTACAGTATTACTTCTTATGCTGTTTTATGAAAATAATTAAAGGAGAGTTTTTATGTATAATTAATGTTCTTTGTACAATTGAGCATTTATGATTTCTTACTATTAGTTTTGAATAGTGTTTTAATTATTCTAGATCTAATAGGCTGTAGCAGTTTACCACTTACTAGTAATTAGCTTTAATTCACCTTTTTAAGCTATAGTAGTAACTAGTTTTATCCTGCTTGAAAACTGTGTATCCCACATACATATTTAGAGATTATTGTGGGCATGGTTGGAATTTTCACATTCTGTAGAGTAAAAGATTATAAAATTTACATCCAATAGATTATAGGATTAACTGTAGTGCAAGGCATTTAACTGTAGCCTCAGCCCTTACTAGGTAGTTATTTCTCTGATTAAACATAAAATTCAAAATTTGAAACAGCTAAAGGAAAACATTTTTTGGTAGTTCACATACGTAAATAAGTTATTAGTTTTTGGAGTTACCCTTACTCTTCAGTACTTTTAAAGAAGTAACCTTTGTCCATGTTAATTTCATGAAAGCCAAATTTAATTGCTCAGGTTAAAAAACACGAATTTATATTCTATGCCAATTAGGTAAAGTAAGGAAAATACTTAATTTAACAAACTCACTACTAATAAAAGGAAAAGAACGATTTATTGTGATTAAAAAGGAAAATACTGATATCTAGAGTTTAACTGAAAACAAATGTTTATGATGAGAAGGCAGATTTTATAATCTAATTGAATCATATGTTTATATAGCATTTTAACTTGTTAGATCCTAGATATGAAGAGCTTTTTTTTCCTCTATATGCAATCTATTCCACCAAATTAAATTGGAAAAACTTGAGACAAAAAATTATTACATAGATGCCAAATTTTCTGTTATTTTTCTTTCTTCACTTTATTTGAATTGTCAAGATTATCATGATTTTACAGTTCCATCCAAAGGTTTTGGGTAGAGTCATAGTGGCATTTTAGCATAGATCATCTGTCTAGCCATAAGCCTTTTGTAATGAAAATTGAATTCCATTTCCCTTTGCCCTTGCAAAAGACATCTTAGTAGGTAGGAATAGAAAAATCAACTTACGGAAAATAGTATGATTATGATTTCACTTTTATTCTTGGATTGAGGGATCTTACATGATATTTGGAGGTAGCTTTACTTTCTGAAAGAATAGAGAACAGAAATAAGAAGAGAATTGGGGTTCTATGGGTTTAATCCTTGAATATAAAAAAAGCAGGATATCCTAATGACCTTAAAGATTTATATGAAGAGCTTTAAAAATATTATTTTAAAATGAAAAAACATTTTTATTTTTGTATGTAAATAAACATAATCTTTGTCCATACTTGAATAGAGAAACAAGTTTCAATTTTTATTAGTAGTAAATGCTGACTTTTTAATGTTAGGGATCTCAGTAACTCTTATTCAAGAATTTTAATATGTCACTTAACAAAACCTTTGTTAAAGTTTTTTTTGACAAATATAGTACTTAAATGTATGATATCCATGTTACGGATCAAGAGTCAGCAAACTCTGTAAAGGACCAGATAGTAAATATTTATGTGGCCTTGGAGACCAGACAGTCTCTATAGTAGTTACTTAATTCTGATGTAGTGTAAAAACAGTCATAAAATATATGTAAACAAATTGGCATGGCTGTGTTCCAAAAATTTTTTCAGATTTGGCCCACGGTTTGCTGATCCCTGTGATGGATTCACAAACTATAGATGTTGACTTTCTGGATAACATTTTATTATGAAAATTTACAACCATATATAAATATAGAGATGTAGTTCATATATCCAATAACCTCCCATACACCCAATACCCACCATCGATAATTATCAACTTTTTGCCAAAATGTTATTCTACAATGTTACAAATTTAGAAAAAAGGATAAACAAGCTCTGAATTATACTTACAAAGTATCTATTACTTATTTAGTTATACTTTCATCATTGTTTTTCTTTGCAGATTTGCCTGTTTATGTATTTTAATAAAATCATATATTTATATATACCTATATACTTATGGGTATATATGTATACATTTATTTTAATAAATAGTCATGCCATTTCTAAAATTTATTTTTAAAGTTTTTAGTGCTCTGAATACATAATGTCAAATCTCAGCTAACTTTTCACAAAGAAAAACTTAATATATATAGATGATGTTCTTATGATAATCTTTACTGGAATCATGAAATCTTTATTGGTGACAGACAGGCACAGAGAGAGAAGAATAAATATACACAACATACATACAAATATACATACATATGTCTTTTATGAACCCACGAAAGCAGCAAATATTTGCCTTATAAACATTTAAAAGACCTAAATGCAGTTATAAAAAGGGTAAGTTATGAAGATTGATAGGCATAATCTGTTCAGGAATAGATCTTTCTAATGCTGATTCTAGGACATATAAAGGTAGATGTCTATGCCTAGGAATGATCTTTTCCCATCTGCTTTGGTTCCTTGATTTCTTACCTTTCTCTTCAGTTCTTTGGAACAAAATTCATTTTCCTTTCTGTGACATGACTTTTATCAGTATTTAGAATATGAACTTGTCAAAAGTTATGCTACTCTCAATAGAAAAAGTAAGATTGATCATCCTGGAAAGAAATAGTTTATATGATTTTTGTCCTAAAATAATCAAATATATACAAACTTACATTGAGAAAGTTAAATAAATCATCTTTTTCTCCCAAGCACAATATTTTATGGAATATTATTTCTTCATTAGAATCATCTGTCTGCCTTTCTGCCTATGTTACATATTTAACGTATTTATTCTAACTTAAAACTGCTACCTCATTGTGAAAATTAGGTGAAAGATGGAATGTAAATAAATCTTAAAAAGATAATTCTTGTTTCATTTTCTCAATTTAAGTTTTATTTTCTTATACTCTGAGCCATGGAAAGTCCATGTCATAACTGTGTCTTCTAGTGATAATATATCAAAGCTACTCCTTAATTACTGATCAACTTTTGAGCTGATGACCCCATGTAGAGATAAACTCTCTAATCTCTTTTACCCTCCCATATTTTTACACCTGTATTTTTAACAGTGTAAATGAAGAACTAGTTCTATAACCTGCATTTCCAAGTGGTAGTGCAAAGCTGGTATTACAGTCATCTAGAGGGTAAATGTGTGTACTTTTGGGTCCCAGGTCAGGCAGTGATGGATGAGACTGCCTTACCTGGTTAAAGACACCTGTTTTGATTGCCTTCTAAAGCTTGGTGCTTTTGGTATTATCTCAGGCCCCCCTGCCGTAGATCCTCATGAAATAGAGCCAAGTTTTTAATTCCCCAAATTCTTCCCTGCCAATTTACGGAAATGTTTTTAGTAATTGTTAAGTCTTCTTCGTTCTGATCATCACTTGTTTCTCAAGGAGATATTGTTCCCAGGCCTGCAAGTAGAAAGCCCACTATCACCTCTTTAGTCTGTCCTCTACTTCTTTCTAGAGAGAGCCCTTATGTAATTTGTTTCTGTTCAAATCTCGTATTGCTCTTTCCACAGAATGTTAACGTTGCCCAGAATTAGGTTTCTGTTTGGTGTCAGGGTGCCCTAATCGTACTGGTGACATGCAGTCTTTTGTGCTGTCTTTATTTTTAAGTTGTGTGAATCCGCACTATAATAAAGAAGAGACTTGATGAAATTTATTGATAGAAAAATTTAACTTTTGTTATAAATAATTTTAAACTGTCAAAAACTGATTTCAACTAAGTTAAAAAGCTACTTTTGGTGCTTACCTTAGCCTTCTCATGATTTCTGTTCTGCAAGTGAGCTTCTGGGTTATTCTGTTTTTGTTTTCGTTTTTTTATTTTAGATTATTTACATAACTTGGAGCAAGCGATTTGACAAAAATTTCCTCTGTTGAGCTAAAAATGGAAACTAATAACTTAGAGTTTTTCCTAATTAAAGTAGAGAAAATAGACAAAATTTTTTGTATATTTGGGAAAAATAAAAATTAGTTACTGTTACTTTACTATTTTTTTTATACATTTTTCATTTACATTTAAAAACTCCTCATTGAACGAATAATTTGTTTACATCTCTGATGTTTTCCACAGTTCGTAGAAGTTCAGGAATGCAATTTTCACCATTACTTCTCACTAACTGTTTGTTTTTGTAAATCTCCAAGGTTCCCCCAGCAGAGATGTGGGACCTTCCCTGGGTCTGAAGAAGTCAAGCTCATTGGAGAGTTTGCAGACAGCAGTCGCCGAGGTGACTTTGAACGGGGACATTCCTTTCCATCGCCCACGACCGCGGATAATCAGAGGAAGGGGATGCAATGAAAGCTTCAGGGCTGCCATCGACAAGTCTTACGATAAACCCACAGTAGATGACGATGACGAAGGCATGGAAACATGTAAGTTTATGCTGCTGGGAAGAATAGTAGTTAAAATAGCTCTTAAAGCAGCAGTTCTTAAAGTGTGCTCCAGGAAACAATGTGTTTCCAGTACCACACAGGGATCTGTGGGGTGTAAACTATTTTCAGAATAATAAAACACTTATTTACCTTTTTATTCTCATTCGCTCACAAGTATATAGTGGGATTTTCCAGAGGCAACAAGTCATGTGATATTGCAATAGATTGAATACAGAGCAGATAGAAGAATCTGTCTTTTTAGTCATGTATTCAAAAGATTTGCTACAATATAACACAGTGACCATTGTTCTCAGTAACTGTTTTTGGAAAATACAGATTTTTGGAAAAAGATAATTTCTGTTAACATGAATTTTGCTTTTTATGAAGTAATTACTATTTTAAAACTTTCTCCATTTTAATTCAGTAAATACTAGATTTAATCCATGTGAAGTTTTTATTTTGAGTTCTTAATAATTTTTAGGAGAATAAAGGTATTCTCCTAAATGTTTTGGTATGAGACTAAAATGTTTGAAAACCACTGCTGTATAGTATGTCTAGGATGTGATGTCTCCAATAACTATATGTAATAATCTCTGATTTTGAAAACATTTTTATTTTTATGAATTACTCTTACTTTCCTTGAATTGAGCTAGCAAGATTCATTTGTGTGTGTGTATTTCCAAATTGCAAAATATTTTAAGCCAATTAAAATATTTTAAGACAATCAAAAGTCAAAGGTGTTAATATGAATGAGCAGTATGTTTTCCATAGTGTATTGAGAAAAAAGTTAACATTTATAAATATGTACAAATGTATGCTTCAAAGAGTTATCTATTAAACATTCATGGTATAAATATCACCATTCAATTTGAAAATAAAGGAAAAACTCTACTAGTCTATTTACTTAGAAAAGAAAGGACTTAGGAGTTATAATAGTAAAAAGTATTGATTAGCTTATTATTGTTTATAACTACTAATTTACATTTTAGTTTTTTAACTTCAAATGTGACTTTATGCATCTAACCATTAGAAGAAAAACTGTAGACACTGCAGCTTGAGGTTAAAGCAGAGACCAGAGATAATTTAAATGGATTGTAAATTACTGACAATTTAACTTTTGGGTGTACTACTTCTCACTCACACACTTGAGGAGAATTGTGGTGGGGAAAAAGAGTTTAAAATAAAAATCACATTCTAGGCAGATTTAAAGCAAAATTATATAATTTTTGCCTATCGCATATAATGTGTTTGGGAAGATGAATATTGCTGCCATAATATAACATGCAAAGCAAAACTTAATGAGAAGATTGCTACACCTCCTCCCCCTCCCAACTCTCCATCTAAATTTTCGCTACATCCAGCCAGTGATTTCAAATACATGCTGCCTATTCTTGCCAGATGAAGAACATATTTCCTATTTTTGCTGCCAAGCCTGGTCTCCAACATCCTGAGTCATAAGAGCTTTCAACCCTCTTGAGATTTCTCCCATTGTATCCATGGTTCCTTGCCACCTTAACCAATATTTGTGCAGGTATACTAGATATTTATGCAGGTATTCTAGAGTAGAAGCCCTGTCACTCACAGATGTTGCCTCTGTCTGTCCTGGGTGTATATTTCATAAGAGATATAGTCCTCTGGCCCCTCAGTATTTGTTTTTTTAAGCATCTATAATTTGTAATGCTCCTGAACCTTTTTCTTATTCTTATTAAAATGTTATTTAAATTTCCTTACAAAATAGTTTTTTTCACATATGTTACTCTTTTCAAATGCAACAGGGGATGCAATCCTTACCAATATAGGGCATGTTCTTAATTCTCTAGGGACAGCCTCCAGAGTTTTCCATCAATGTGGACATCTAAATATTTCCCTATAGACATTTATTTTCCTTTTTAAATTGGAAATAACAGATTTAAGTATATCGTATTAAAACTTATTGAAACAACTATCTTCAAGGCAAAAGAAAACAAAAACAATTAAATAGACAAGTTACAATTTCTGAACCAAAAGTAATATTCTGGACAGGAGCTGGCAATGACATTTGTGACATGAGAGCATCACGAGCATCTACAACCACAAAATACTGTTTTACGAAGTTCTGATTTTATTATTTATTTTTAGACCAGTCTGATTAACTTTAAATATGGCAAAAGAAAGGCAGCTATTATACATTTCAAATTTTTTGCAGTTTGAATTGTTGAAATTGAATTGATAGAGTGGAGCACGCACCGAACTGGAATTTAGATGACTTTCATCTTAGTCCACATTTTCTAACCAATGTGGGATTTTGGTCAAACCACTTAAAATCCTTGAGCTTTAATTTTCTCATTTGTAAAACCAAAGATTTGGGCAACTAGGTCATTGATTTTCAGATTGTGTATGGTGATGTCTGGTCAGGACTAGGGGTGTCTTACTGGTTTGGGGGGTATCAGGAAGCAAATGGGAGGCTGAGCAAGTGCGACTCTGCAAAGGCCACTAGCTTCACTCTGCCCGCTGCTGTCACGACTGCTCTGCATTAACAATTGTGGGCTTTTTAAATCACATTTAATACATTGTGGTTCTTTGTGAGTTTTTGTTTTAAGGAAAGGGGTTGTTTGCTGTGTTATTCATAAAAAGTTTGAAAAGCTCTGGGTTAGATAGTTTCTGAGGTCCCTTCTAGTTTTCACATTCCATGATTGTCGGTACACCCATTCAGTTACCTGCCTAAATCCTGCCTGCTACCCTTTCGTACCTCTGTAAGGTCCACGAAGGAAGATACCACCATGACTGTTTTATTACTGCATAACCAGGCACAGGGCTTGGCAAATCAAGATTCAGTTTATATCTGTAAGTGAGTGTCTGCATAACTAGCACCATCGTGTGCCTGAAAGGGACAAAGTGGAGGGGAGAGAAGGTGAGAGAGGGAGAGAGAGAGACACTTTTGGTGCGCAGTAAGCGGGATGGTCATGACATTTCGCTGTTCCTATTCGTGTCCCACACTGGACCTGTGTGTATTAGATCCCAATACCTCAGCAAACTCCTTGTTTTTCTAAAAAAAAAAAAAGGTCTGTCAAGGCTTGTGTTACCGCTGGTGGTCATTTGACTGTCACCTTTACGTGTGACTAGAGACAGAAAGGTGTTTTATGGCTCCAGTCAGGAGAAAGAAGGTGGCTCAGTTAGCCCTTTCTTTAGTTTCCTCAGATGCATCGTTTTCAGAGTCAGTTTGCAGATCCTCATGGCATGGTCGTTGTGCCTTCCCAGAATCTGTGCTCTTGTTCCTGGTTGTGCTCCTACATCCCCGTCTTCGTGGTATGGTCCCTTGCTGTGTGTCCAGCGCCCTGGTGTTTTCTGTGCTCTGCCGGACTCTGCCAGAGCTGCTTTCTTGTTCTGTGGTGAGACTCAGCTACAGCGCCTGTTGCAGAGAAAATGCTGGATCACTATTGAACATGGCTCTGAAGAGAGGAGCAGTGTCTCAGCAGACCATTTTCTGCAACCCGGGACATTTCGTAAGGATGCAGCCAGTGCACCTTAGAAGCTCTGGGGTGCGGAGGAGGCTGTCGTGGAAAAGCTGCGTAAGGGGGGAGCCAAGTCCTGGTGGGGAGGCCAGAGTTACCTGTTTTCTCCCCTCACTGAGCCCTTTTCCTCTTTACAAGTAAGACCCTTAGGCATGGGCAGGGTTGATTGCTCTTGTCACTCAGAGTGAGCACCTCCCCAGTGGCTGTAGTTCATGCTCTGAGCAGGCTTGCCTCGTCTCAGCAGAGTTGAAATCATGGCATTGGCACAACACTCAGGGCCAAGAGACTGGGGCAGGATCCATGTGGTATCTGGTATCTGTCATCTTCTGTAACACTTACGTTCTTCCTGTGGAGATGGCAGAAGCCAGCATTTTTGTCTCTCATTTAATCCATCTGGCCTCTCCATGTTGTGTGTCTGTCTGGATCAAGATGGAGCTTTGTACTCTGGGACCCATTATCTCCAAGGCCCTACCTGTGTTTGACAGGTCAGGGCATCTACAATCTGCTCCCTCTTCTATGCAAATTACATACCCTGCCTGGCTCTCAGCAAGTGGCTTCTATATCCCCCATAATAAATCAGTTTCTGTAGCTACCAAGAAAATGCATGCAGTAACATTTCTTTGTTTTCTTTTTGAAAAATATATAGTTCCATTTTTCCTCAATTAAAAGTTGCCAAATTGTAAACCTCACTATCAATTCAGTAACAGCTTTTTGTTGGGGTCAAGGAGGCGAAACACAACGAAACCAAACACTATCCTATTAATTGTACCTATTGGTTTTAATATATATCTTAGTTTAGAATTTTAAATGTGAAAACCTGTATGCCTTAAAAATAGAGACGAATTGCTTTTGAGTAGCTTGCTGCTTTCTTATAGTACTTTTGTTAGGAGATAAGAAAAAGCATTGCTCTACAATTTGCATAACTTCAGTTAGCAGTATGAGATTTGAAGAAATTAACTTTATGTTGGTAAATCAGCTAATAGAGATTCCAGGGGAATTATTCTTTTTTAGCTACAGAATAGCATATTGCATTTAATATCAGATTTTCTACTCTTAGCATTCTGCTCACTTCTAGCCACTTTTCATTACTACCTATTTGAGCAAAAATAATACAAATGAAGTCTAATTTTGTTAAGCAGATTATAGTAAGTATGTGATAGAATTCAGGACATGGGTTTCAAGGTCAAAGAACTTTGTCAAAGATTCCTTATTTCATTACTATTTCAAAGAATAATTGGATATTGATCTACAAAAATATTTTTTCTGAAATGCTAGGAATAAGAGTAACCTCTCTATCCTTCTATACAAATTTGTATACTTAAATATCACCTGCAGTTTAAGGAAAGCAGCTTTGATTAATTTTAGAAAAATTCTGAATGCAGTATGTGTGTAAGCATGCGAAGTAGCTGAAGCTGTTTCTTACATTCCTTTTGCTATGTGAAAAGTAACTGAAGCCAAAAGTACAATGAAAAGTCACATCTGAAGTATTTGAATTATAGACTCCTTATT